GGATATGGATCTAGAAAGATCGATGGAGATAGCATAACCAATAAACAGATCAAGAAGTTTTGGAGGCAGAAGCAGATCATTGAAGAGGAACATTTCTTTGCTGCTATTAAGGCTGCAGCTCGTGTCAGAGCCCGTAATCTCTCTGTATGTCCTCTTGCTTTTACAATTCTTGTTCTGTCCTTTAGAAGAGGAAAATCGATGTTTGGTCTAGAGAGTTTCACTGATCTAACTCGGGAGATTCTTTTGATCAAACCAGTCAGAGAAGCTCGTGGTTCTGATATTGATATCTATTGCAGGATGAGGACTACAAACGTTTTGAAGAGAGCTTGGACATGGAGGACCTGGAAACCGAAGTTCATGACGGAATCAAAGACTGGTCTCTGTTTAATTCTCATCCATATAATCTTAGACCTTTACATATTATCTTTGAACATTCGCTCAATGAGCCTAAAACAAGAATCACCTGTTTTTTTCTTAGCTGTTTGAGATGCAATAGCGCGATTTAACTTTGAATGTCGATGGGTTTCTATCAGGTGGACGAAGAGCAAGTATGCGTACTTGAACCAGCCGGCTCTTGGATCTGCAGATTCACTGAAGAGAAAGAGGTTTTCTTCGTATGTACCAAACTGTTTCTCCTTCAAACCATGCATTCCTCTATATGCAACTTCGCTCAATGTCTTTTAAACCATTAGCAAACCCTGCAAGATCAATTGTGTTGCATATATATGTATACATATGTGTGTTTGTGTTTGTCTGTGTAGATATGTGTTAATGGATATGGACTTTGGTGTGTGGTTGTTTTTGTGTAAATGTTGAATAAAATTTCAATCTTTCTGTGTAACATTAGTATTTTGACTAGAATTATATATACATTAAAATTTCAAGCGGTGGTGGAAAATCGTGGTGGAAAATGTCTCAATATTTTTTCGGGGAAAAGGTCAAATAACCCTCCTTCCAAGTTTAACCAAATGGACGTAAAAACTTAGTATACTAACCCCCTTGTGGTGGTGTTTTGTGTTTTTTACCCCCATTGACTAAAAGCTGTTTGTGTTTAGGCTAAAAGTCTTGGGACCAATTATGGTGTAAAGGAGAGAAAACATTCTCATACTAGCCGGACCAGGCTAGGGTCTCATCAAGGACCTAGTAGTATTGTCTTTTTTTTTCTTTCTTCTTTTACTGAAAGTCTTAAAACATTATAAACCAGATCCAAAAAATAAACATAAAATTCAGAGGTAAACATAACAAAGGACACATGATATATTAAAGGTCACCAGATTTGTCTACTTGTCGATCACAACATTTGAGATTTCAAGGCACATGTGTTGTGGTATCCCATCACTCGTTTGCCTTATTATGCATTTGCACTCGACACCTCCACGAGTCTCGAAAGTTATGTAAAAGATTGCGTTCCTTGACTTGACTCTAACTAGTGAGTGGCATGAACCACTAGTGTTGACTTAAATAGTTAAACAGTTGACTTCGACTTCTATCCCTGTATTTTACATCTA